GCAGGTCTCTTTTCCGCCATCCAGCCCTCTGGGAGCTTAGTCCTTCCTCCCAGGCCTGTCCCCTCCGGCCGAAACCCAACGCCGGAGCAACGCCAGGCCCCGGCCGGCCGGGAGGCTCCCTGCCCCGCTCCCTTACGCTTCGCGCTTATCCAGCTGCTTTTGGTGACAGCAAGGACAGAGAGACTACGGCCAAGGTTAAAACGGGTACGTTTTAACTGGTCAGAGGCCCTAGAGAGGCCTGCATGCCGACGACCGCGCCGCGCAAAAACCTCGCATCGAAATGACTCGTACTGCAGGGCTGCCGGTGCTTCGGTGCCAAGTATCTCACTTCAGCTTGTGAAAAGAGGAAGCGAGGCAATCAGAGCGACAGCGACAAAGCTGGCACTGAAACACTGCACACGGTGCACTTACTCAGGTTCACACCAGCGTGCGCGTGTAGGTCCACCATGAATTTCACCACCCTGCTGCTCAGCCCACCGCCTCCCAGCCAGAACCAGCACAGGCCCCACGCTCCATCTCCTCCTCGCTCCGGACCTTGGATGGGACCCAGCTGTGCAGCATTGACTCTCGCCCCAGTGGCGACGCATCCAGTGTAAAAGCCAGAGTGAGCAACACAAACGGTTCCAGAAACCTCAACAGAACCATTCAGTTTAGTAAATACAACCCATGCGAGCTGAGATACGAGGCTCACAATATGTTACTTACTGCCTACACATCAGCAAAGCCCACGCAATCAGCACGCTGGAGTGACAAGTATTCCAGAAATATTTTCTGCATTAGTCTTAGCTATAAGTTAACCTGTCATGATTGCAGATATTATGCATTTCCAAACAAAATCCCATGATGACAACACGATGAAAACGCAGATAAAATACGTGCCGAAATATTTTAAAACATCCTATTGGGAGCCACCAAGTTCTCAGCGTGGATGTTCAGTCCACCGTATTAACTCTAGCTGCAAGAAATGTCATGTCCTTGGTGCAGGAAAGTGGGCAGAGAAAGGAAATAGCTGGTTTACCAACCATTTCCAGCTAGGCCAAAGCAGGTGTTTGTGGATGGGAGGCCAAGCAGGTAGGAGCAAACCCATCTGAGAGGGGTTTCAGGGGGATGCTCCGGCTGGAGAGCCGACATGGTGCTTTTCACATGTCAGAGGCCATAAAGCTTCCTTCTGTCTGGGTCAACAGGCCATAGAAGAAACAAATAAAACAATCCCTCATACACAGGGCAGCTGCAGTGATGACCCCCGCTCCCAAACAGCGGTCTTCAACGAGGAGACTAATCAGGAGGTCACTATGGCTTTGGGGGGGAGCTAATGGGGAACTCTGGTCTTGCAAATACTGATGCTCGCACTTGAGAGGAGCAAGGCCAGGAGGCTCCCCCAACGCCTGACATGTAACATACATAACAATTAAAAATAAAAACAGAACACACTTACGAAGACAGCACTATGGCAACGGCATCATTGAGGACGCTTTCGCCAAAGAGAAGGGCATACAGCTCAACATCAACCTGGAGCTCATGGAATATGGCAAGAACAGTCACTGACAAATAGAAAAATAGAGAGACATTCAAAAAGGTGCCGTTATTTTTGCGTCATCAAAGACAAAACACCCCTTGCAGAAGGCCTCCTTCCTGCACACCTGTGCCGGTCCGCTGAGACGTTCCCACCGCCCCCCGTGCCCCTTTCCGTGTTCCTCCTTCTGCCCTGTCAGCCTTGCGTTTGCTTTATGACCAGCCTCCCCCTCGGGTTATTAAAGCACACACCGGGGGTTATGCCCACAGCGTAGGCAGACGCGTGCGAGCCCTGCCCCGACCTTCCCGCGGGCCCGAGCGCCGGGAGCGC